ATTTTCAGGGCTGTCTTAGTGCTTTATGGATGAATTCACATTATCACAGAATGGTGAGTTCTTCATTTTCAGGCCTGAGGTGTTCATGAATACTGCATAGTCCTTATCTACTGCATTCTCCTTTTGATGACTCAAAAAAGAAAACAGACATTACTTTTAAATATCCCCACAGTAGGAACAACATACACATTCTTTTGTGAGGTTTTTGAAAGTACATTCCCCTTTCCCACATGGACAGACGGACAGCAAACCTTCTGATAAACCTACAGTCAACTTGACTGTTTCCCTGGGGCCTAATGCCTCTTTCCCCCCTGCTGGTACTTCTTTTCACTCCTCAGAAGAAGAATATCCTTAAAATCCTTATAAACATTCAAGAACATCCTTAACAACCTATTGCACTTGCTCCTCATCTCGCAGTTCACCCATTCCTGAGCACAGCTCAAAGCTGTGCAAAGTCTATAAAACGTCTGTCTGTCTCCAGCTCTATATGGGCCCCAGCTATTCAGCTATTCACCCATCTATGCCTTCCTATCCAGTCCTTTTCAGAGCTTCCTGCTACTTTCTCAAGGCTTATGTGTTTCTTCCTTCACCTTCTCTCATAGCCAAGAACCTTACAGGGGCACTGAGTCAGGGGTACATTCTCTGTGCTGCCTGCTTCCCCCATGTCACGGGCATTTGCTTTTGGGGAGCTGCATAGCAGTCTTTCTCTTCCTTTGGTAATAGCACTTTGATTTCTCTTTCACTCCTTACCTTTCGATCATGAAATGAAGTGCTAATAGAGCTTACATCAGGGGATCCTGCCAGCCTTTCCCTGGACAAGAGGTAGATGCATAACTCAACTTAGGCAAATTTGACTTATATATTTGAGCAGAAGTGATAAAAAGATTGAAGTTATTCTGACAGCAGAGCACTGAGGAGACTTTCAAATACTTCCCATTACCTGGGCTCCCAACGCTGTCCTGGTTTGAGCCTTTTCAAGTCTGTTTTGCCAGCATTCCCTCGAAATCCATGAGCCACCTGATCATATCCTTCCAATAAATTCCTTTCAGACTTAAGATAGCTAAAGTTGGTTTCTGTTGCTTGCAACCAAAGAATCCTAAACGATACAGATTCACACTCCTTAGCCTCTTTATGTCTCTTTCCTTCCTATTTCAGGAAAGGGCTGTTACAAAGAGACTCCCCATTTTCAAACTCCAGCAGATTACCTTGACCTACTCTCTTACTGTCAAGACTATGCCCATATTTTCTGAAAGACAAGAACTTTTCTGCCCCTCTCCAAAGCAAACCATTCATAAAGGGGTTGTTCTTGTCCACCATAAGTGATTCTTGATGACTTTCAAGGGAAACAAAGATTTCTGGATGCTTGTTAGGATTGGTTCCCTGGGGATCCCCCCAGTTCTCTCTCACCCAGCTTCCCTATAAACCTGGCCAAAATGATTCCAAACTCAAGATTGACTTTGACTGCAATACTTCCTCTTGTCCTACCTCACTTCCTTCTTTCTTATCACAGCATCTGGACAGACTATACATAGTTCCATCTTGGCCTCCAAATTCCATGCTCCGGCTCCCTACCAGGTCCTTCCTGATCTGGCTGCAGGTCCAGTCCCTCCACTGAAATCACCCTCATGAGCCACATCTCTCCTGACTTGTGTTCAGAGGGCAACCCCCAGGGAACCAATCCTCACTAACAAGTATATAGAAAGTCATCAAGAAAATTACTTACAGTGGACAAGAGCACCCCTTTATGGATGGTTTGTTTTGTAGAAGGGCAGAAAAGTTCTTGTCTTTCAGAAAATATCGCTAAGAACTTAACATATTCAAGGCATTGGAGACTACAGAGACACTTGAAAGACTCTTTTCCCCTGCCTGGTGTTAGAAGAGAGATGTGAAGAGAATTACCACTAACTGTCTACTGTGGCAGGGACTTTTAACTATGTCTGTGTGCCTGGCACTATGCTAAATACCTAACACGAATCATCTTATTTATGCTTCTAACAGCCATGGGCTTGGGTATTATTGCCATTTCCATTTTGCAGATGAGAAATAGACTCAGACAGGTTAAATAGACTACCTTAGCCATTTGTTTAGGATGTGGAGTCTGAACTCAAATCCAGGTTGCTTTCAAAAGACAAGAAGGTAAGGGAGGGATTGGCTTCTTTTGGTGTGTCCTGTCCCATGGCCCTCCACCTTGAATCTGTACTTGAATCACTAAAGCACTATTACTGTGCCTACCTTCACCCAGGGTCACCAAACCCACCCATTCAACACAACACTGTGTGCATATCTCAGCCTTCTTTGAGTGAAAAGCCAGGGGACCCCTCATTGCTATAGGTGCTATTTTTAGGTCTGCTTCTGCTGCAGACTGCTCTGCCCTGCACACACCTGATCTTATTTGAAAGCTTCTAGGTGCAGTTGGAAAGGACCTTGGATGGAGCGCCAGAAGATGTGAGTTTGAACTGCATTCTGCCTTTACTAGCAATATAATCTTGATCAAACCATACAATCTCTCTGAGCCTTGATTTCCTCATTTATAAAAGGAGATAAAACTAGCCATCTCATCTAAAGAGAGACGATATGTCAATTGTAAGGCATTATATAAATTTTTGTTATGAAAACATGATTCCTAATTTAGGAATGAGGAAACCCCAGATCACGGAGTTAAGTCCATGGGAAAGCTGGATAAAGTAGAGGCTGGCAGATGCCAAGTCCTGTGCCTTACTTCCTAACTCTTCCTTCTTTCTGATTCTGTAACTGGCACCTTGGCTTCTATCTATTATGGCTTCTATTTTAAGGATGAAAAGACTAATATTATATATATGAAAATATTTTTCTAGACTTGAAAATTTATTTTTTTGTCTCTGATTTTAAAAGAAATTCAAACATTTTTGTGGGCCCTAAGAATATTGTGGGCACTAAGGCACTGCACCTACTGTGCCTAATAGGTAAGTAACCCTGAATTCAGATCTGCCTTTCCAGCCCATTATGCTTTTCTCTATACAATGCTGCCTCCCAGAGTCAGGGAGGAAGCCACATTAGCTGCCAGTCACACATTGGGAACCAGAGCAGGAAAACTGGGCCTCCAAGACAAGGGGCACAGGGGAGGTCCCTCTTCAATAGGTGGGCTTTGTAATCAGACTAACTGAAGCCAATTCTTGCCAAGATGTTCCTGAGAGGGGGCTATCCCCCGCCTCTTTGACAGTGTTCTAGGGACAGCCTACCTGCCTCACCATAGCCCTGAGTTTTTCTCTCCACTCCTTGCCTTACCCCCAGCAGGAAACACTTGCCTGTTATGGAAGGCCTACTGTGAACTGAGAACTTTATATGTATTATAGCATTGGGTCTACAAAATATACTTATGAAATAGGCAATGTTATCTCCATCTTACAGAGGAGAAATCTGACTCAGGAAAGCTAAGAAATCTTGCTCCTGGCACCACAGGGCTGTGTACTTCCTATACTGGTTTATACGATGTAACTCCTTCTGTCCCTCTTGAACCCCAGTGCTTTCCTTCTGGAAAGAATGACTCAGCCAGCCCAAGAGCAGGGTGTGTATGGGATGGGCTTAGAACTCCTTGTCCACATTATTCATCGAGTTGGGGATGCACCTTTGAATATCCCTGCCAGGATAGGAGGTTGATGGAAGACTCATGGCCCCATCAGGGAATTAGGGGAAGACATAGGATTGGATTAGGTTCCGACAGTGGGAAAGCAGCTCAGCTTCTCACCCAGAGAGGGGCAAGACCAACTGGATGAATCTCAGGCTCCTTTTCTTAGAAGGCTCCGTGCTTCCTTGGACTTCTGAAAACTCTTTGTTAGTGGGGCATGTGATAAAAAGAGGGACAGAGCTAGGAGAGAAGCAGCCATCAGACCTCTCAGATCAGGCCTAGGCACACAGGGTTTGTGTGAGAATTAGAAAAGGGCTCCCCCTCTGGACGGATTATTTACAAAAGGACACCTCTAGGGGGCATTATAAATTTTTTAAAATGTCCTTTCCTTTTGGCTGTGGCACCCAGTGCCAGGACGCAGTCTTGGCATGGGGATAGAGGTTGGATTGGTGGTTGGATTGCATTCCCACTCCCTGAGTAGCCTTTCTGCGGGACCCAGGACCAGTCTGAGGGGCCTGTCTCAAGTCAGGGCCAACAGTCAGGGATTTCCCACCTTCCATATTCCAGAATCTCCAGGCTTTCCAGATGACATCCAATATTTTCCACCTTCCAATAGAAGACTCTAGATTGACCTCACAAAGAACATCTGTTTAATCTTTGCGGTATAAACCAAATTGTGGGCGTTGGAGTTTCAGTCTTTGCCTTAGGCGAATTCCTTAACTTCCATAGGCCTCAGTTTCTCCACCTTGAAAACGAGGCTAATGAAATCAATCCTGCAGGGCAGTTTCAATGGATAGGCTGCACAGAACACAATGCTGGCACACAGTTGGTCTGCAACACCATGTGGCCCATGGCCCTCGTTAGCCGGGACCTGAAGGATACCCACAGTGGATGCGGTACAGGCAGTCCCCACAACTCCTACACGCGGGGAGGTGAGGGGCCCGGGCTAGTCCTCTCCTCCCGGATCCTGCAGACACCTCAAATGTAGGTAGTGTGGCAGGGGCAGAGAGGGCCTGGGAGCTCTGCACTGCAGCCACCTGCGCAGCCGCTCGGGTAGAGGGCGCGCTTCCAGGCGCCCCGGGCAAGGCAGACTCCGGGCTGCGAGAGGCGTGGGGGTCAGCGGGGTAGCGCACCAGGCGAGCGAGAGGGCAAGCAAGGAGTTAAGCAGGGCGGGAGGCAGGGCGCCTGTCACACGCGAGCATGTGCAGTTTGCACCGCATCCGTACTATGGGTGAGTGCCGCCGCCGCCGCCACCGCCGCCGGGGACTCCGTTCGGCCCGGGCAGCGGCGGCTGCAGTCCCTCGGCCCCCGCGCCATCGCGGCGGGCGCCGACACACAATGCGGGGCTAGGAGCGGCGGGGGAGGCCTGGGGCGTGGGGGAGGCACGGCTGGCAACTCCGGGCGTGGGGAGCCTGAGCGCCGGGAGTGGGGGCGGGGAGCAGGCGGCGCAGGAGAGCGCCCGGAGTCCCGGCGCGGGAGGAGCCGCGGGAGCGAGCCCAGTTGACGGCGCTCCTGGCCGCACCTGCGCCCGGCAGGCGGCCGGCCCTGCCCTGCCCCTGCCGGCGGCCCCGACCCCGCACTGGTAGGTGCCCCCGATGCCCGCAGAGAGGCCTTTCCGCCGCCCGGAGAGGTGGCCTCGCGGGGCGGGCAGCGCCGAGTGCGGGAGGCGATAGTGGTTATGGGGAAGACCCGGCGACCGGGAGGGGGGCGAGGGGGGCCCTGCCCCATCCCGCCTCCTCTTTGCTTTCGGTTTCGAAGCGGCTGCCCCGGCTCGCGAGCTAGCCGCTGATTAGATGGTGTGCCCGCGCTTGGATTCCCTGAGGGGGATGGGCGCACAGGGGGGCGTGTTGGGGAAGGGGTGCTTATTGGCAACTTTCCCCGCCTGAAACAAAGGGGCATCGGGGAGATGCGAGGGTAAGGGACCAACCTGGGATCTCCGGCAGCGGAAGGTTGACAACCCCCTTCCTCCCGGCAGAGAGCACCCCCCAAGGCGCCTCGGGAGGGTGAAGCCGGGCGCCAGCCTGGGTGGAAACTAGGGAGCCAGGGCTTGGGAGTGGGAACTACAGACCCTCCTGAGTTTGAGGCTGAGGACTTTCCAGAAGGGGCGGGAACCGTGCTAAGATGACCCTGCTGCCTTCTCTCCTGGCAATGGTGGACTAGGTGATGGCATACCCTGGGGCCCAGCCCAGCCCCCTGGCTCCCCGCTCTCCATCTGCCCTCTCTGATCTCTCCTCTTCAGTGGGAGATTCAGGGCTGGGATGGGGACCCTTACATCTCTGTTCACAGGCAAGGGCAAGGAGACATTGGCCTCTTTTCCAGGTGTCTTCCTTTCCCTCTTTCTATGCCCAGTCAGAAACTGACCCCTTCTCTTCCTTCTCTGGACTGTCTCCCTCTTTCTCTGCAGTTTCCTTAGGGGGATGTCTGGTTGCCTCAGATACAGAGCCTAGGTGGCAAGTTGTTCAGATGCCACTTCATGCCCTCCCAGGAGGAAAAGAGCAGGACCTGGAGGAGCTGGGCGAGTGTAACCTTGGGGGCTCTGCCCATCAATGCTCATGTGTTTTCAGCACATAGTAACAAACTAGCTGTTACTCTGGCCTTCAGACTTGGGCCATCAGGAGGCCTGGGTTTTCTCTTTGCTATAACCAGGAAGTAGGGTCAAGGGGAGGGCTGGACAGCCTGCCCTGAGGGTGGGACAGTGTCTTTCTCTCTAGAAAACAAATGGGCCAGATTCCAGTTCCCTGGTCCCCAACCTTGTGTCTCCAGGAATGAGGTGCCTCAAGCTCCAAGCCATTTGTATGTGACCGCCAGCTTCTATCCCGTGGTCCGACTGCCCATTGCCTTTCTTTTTCTTAGAAAGGACAGCCCTTTTGAGAGTTGGGTTTTCCCCCTGGTTGCGAGGCAGAACTACATCTGCTTGCCTGTGGAGACAGAAGGTACTGGGGCGGGGGTGGGGGTGGGGTAGCTGGACTGCTGGGTGACTCTCCTGACTGTTCCTGTGAATAAGCTAATGATACAGTGGTTGGGCCAGGGGTGGGCCTGCACTACACCTTGCTCTCGAAGCAGGGAGGGGTGGGCTGAGAGGAGGCTTGGCCCTCCTTCCCAAGGCTTTGTATTTGGGGACAGAGATGGATAACTGGGGAGACAGTGGCTGGACCAACTTATGTATCTGGTTCTTGGAGGGACATGGCAAGCTGACTTAGTGTTGACTTTGACCACTTAAAGGTCCAGGAGTGAGGGCGGTTCCAGGACTACTAAAGGGTAGCAGGAGAAAAAGAAACACCCCGAGCTTGTAGATCTGTGGTCCTGGACCTTTTGTCTGAAGTCAGATGCAGGTGCTTGACCAGAGAGCACCACCAGCCCCACTTCTAAATGGGCAGAGATGAATGATTATTGCTCAGCCCCCATTGGGTTTATCCCAAGCTATTCATTCAGAGCTGAGCATAATGATATGGAGGGCTCACGTCCCCACCCGCAACAGTGTGACATGGGGGTTTTCCATGTATTGTTCCTCAAATGTACTGACTGTAAGATGGGAAAATAATACTCCTTTTGATTCCCTCTTTGAAAGTGATGAGGCATGACTTTTTACATTTGTAAGGTGATTTAAGAGCCTCAGGTCCTTGAATGAAAGATGTTAAGTGAGTTAGGGAGCCTTACACTGTGTTTGTTTCGCTTGTATCAGATTTACATATTGTTTCTAAAGGGAAAGGTGTCACTTTTCTGGAAAGGGCTGAGTTACAGCTTGTGTGATAGGGAAAACTCAGTGTTGGTTTTAAAAGTACGGCTTTTAATCAGAAAGGCACTTGCTGCAGCATGTGGGCAGCGAGGGTTTCTCTGTCTGCCTCTGCCCTCCTGCCCTCTTAGAGCTCCTTCCCAGTAGGATTTTCCTGGTAGACGGTGTCCAGTCTGGACGTCAGTGATGGTCACCCCGCAAGCTCTGAGAAGGGTCTCTGATGATGGCGGGAACTCTGAAGTTACCAGTTGAGACCTGGGTGAGGGCAGTCAAGTGAAGCTGCTTGGCCTTATCAGCAGCCATATCAGATCTGGCTGTCCTTGAGCGAAGGGAAATCTAACCCTCACATAGCCTGGCTGTTTTCAAATTTGTATCCCTTTCCTCCTCCCTCCTCCCCTCACTCCCAATTTACAGACAAGGTGGTTTGGGTTTTATTTTTTTATTGCAGGAACATTCCTTTTACGGTGTGGATAATTTCTGACTTGGCAAACTCTCAGCTCCCTTTGTGGCAACACCTGGCTAAGGAGGGATTCTTGGAAGGGATTCTGATGTTCTGAGCAGGAAGAAATTCAGCCTTTCTGGTCAGGTCTTCTGTTTACTCCAACACCACCTCTCATAAACCAGAGGCTTTGTATTTGAAAACTAAAGTGTAAGCTGATTTCTGGGGAAGGGCAAGGAGGTGGCATGTTGGGTTATGAGTTTCCTTGAGGGAAACTGAGTCAAATTGAGAGTTAGCACACTGGCTGTGGTTTGTGTGAATGTCTGTGCTGGGGAAGTTTTCCTTTCCTGGGATTTAAGTGTGTTTAGATACAAGAGCCCCAGGGGTTATACTTTTTCATTATGAGATAAAGATGTGCTGTTAGATTTTAGGCACTCATGTGCTTGCTTTCAGATGTGCGTTTGCCTCAGACTTTGAGCTGTGGCATGCTCCCTGATGATGCGATTCAAGGAAAAGGAAGTGTTTTTCACCCCTGAACTACATGCATAGATAGAACTGAGGCTGCACATGTAATCGGTCACATTCCCAGATAAAAAGGATGGCCTGCTCCCTTCCCTGTGCTCACATCCATCCTGCAGGTGTGGACTCCCATTCTCCTCTGCCCAAAGGCTGTCCTCAGTGTTCATTTTAACATCAGTCCCCCTCTGTATTAATTTAGTGGGTAGAGATCACGGAATGATCATGGTCCTCAGCTCTTCTGAAGGACGGTTCCAACCTCCACTCATGTTGGTGCTTCTACCTTTGGGGTAGGTCACCATCCAGTGTGGCAATTTGAGGAGTAACCAAAGTCATTGCCAATTCCTGTTTCTGAACATCCAGCTTGCCATTATCCTTTATGGTGCTGGAGCCCCAACGGGGAGTCTGATATGCTCTCAGGGCTGTTGGCTCCCAATGTGGCAGGTATTGTAGAAGGGACAGCATCCTTGAAATTAGGGCACACAGTCTACATGGGAAAGATGTGGGTGCTCAGATGGCGCCTTCCTGCTGCTCCACCCTCTAGACATACAGCAGTTTAAAAAATAAGACTTGCATCATCAAATCCTAACTTAATGTAGGGAGATCTAATAGACAAAACGGTCTAACCAGAGTGCACTTTCTTCCACTCCAGAAGCCCTGCATGCGGAGCGCACTGGACCAGCCATTTCTGACGGCCTCTGCAGTTAGACTTGAATGACAGATGCCTTCTAGCTGGTTCATTCATACGTTGTGTCCTTTCAGTTTTTAAGAGGCACCCCCATCACATGAGTTTCTGAAATGGTTTGTTCTCATCAGAAAGGTCACTCACCCTGAGTTTTCCTAAGGCCTTGACACCAGCCCCGAGGAGCTAGGGATGCCAGCCAAGAAGGAGATTGAAGGGCCACAAAGAGAGGATTCTTTTCTGGGCTTGTGAGGGATGATTCATGCTTCAGGATAAAATGTGCTTCCTGGGGCTCCAGGGTTTCGTTCCTTGTCCCGTCAGTGGAGGGCTAGGTCCTGGTGCAGCAGGAAGCCCACTTTGGAGACAATGACTGCCATTCTTTGGAGCAATGGTAGGGACCTATTTCTAGCTAACCCTGGGCTTCTTTTCTATAGCTATCCTTGGCCAGACCCCATTTTAGCCCCTAGCCCCTAGGACCCTTCCTCCCTCTCATTCCTAATCAAAAATGCCATTCCAACGCTAGCAATAAGGCATCCAGGGCATTGGTATTACTTTCATCTGCCTTCTTAAATAGGGACAAGAAATAGTATCACCACTGGGCAACACAAACAGCGGCTGCACGTTTTTATTTTGTAATTGGGTTTTCGCCTGTCATAAAAAAAAGGAGATGACCGTCCTATGCTGATCTGGAGATGCCTTAAATCTTACATTGCGCCTGCACAGTTTCTAGCACATGGTGACTGCTTATTAAGTCATCCGCTGTGGTACTTGGATGTGATCAGATACCCAGAATTCTAGGTCCTTGGGCAATGACGTCATTTGCGTAGGAACTGATGATTGCAGAGGCTTCTAGAATCAGGAAATGTGGGATCCCTTCCTAACTTACTGTGAGACTTTGGACAACCCGTTTTGGCTCTCTGAGTCTTCATTCCACAAATGGAGCTTCAGCGGTCTTCAGTGATCATAGCAATAATAACAATGAGAGCCATCACTTATTGACTACTTACTGTATGCCAGGCATTGGGCTAGACACTTCATATATGTTCTCCTTCTCTCACAGCTGTGAGGTAGCTACTATTATCCCCATTTCACAGTTGGAAAAACTGAGGCTCTGAAAGATAAAGTGATTGCACATGTCACACAGCTAGCAAGTGTCCAAATGGGGATTTGAACTGAGATCTGTTTGATTCTATTGTATTCTATGGATTGCAT